ACGGACCTATTCAAATTTTCAGAATCAGATTTTGACCCCGATATCAAAAAGTCAAACCCCCGGTCAAACTTCCCAAAAATTTAACTTTCGGCAATTCAAGCCAAATTCCACTGCGGACCTCCAAATAATTTTCCGGACACGCTTCTAAGTCCAAAATTACCATACGGAGCTATTAAAATTATCAAAATTTGAATCTGAGGTCGTTTACACATAAGTCCGCATCCGGTCACTATTTTAACTTAAGCTTTAAACATTGGAACTAAGTATTTCAATTCCTTCCAAAACCTCACTGGACTCGAACCTATTATTCCGACAATTCACACAATAACTGTAAAGTACAATTTGAGAATTAAATGGAAAAACGGGGTTGTAATACTCAAAACGACCGGCCGGGTCATTACACGGGTAGTAACGGTTGACTCTATTAAATGTAAAATAATTTACTACATAATAAGTATTAATAAAAAGAAAAGCTTTTCCTAATCAAAATAATGCACATTCCATTTTGAGATACCACTAATTTTTTCAATAGTCTTCTATGGCAATGACATCGATCACTCTTTTTAATATGACCCGCAAGAAGAGACTTGTGTTTTTCATCAATCGCACGATCAACCCATTGAAAAAAGTCACAACCTTCACAAATCTCATATCTTCGGCAGCCTAGGAACCTTCTTCCAGGATTGGTGGGTGTTCGTGATATTTTAAGATCTGCAACAACTCCACAATAACACAAAAGTTCCTTCTTCATTGCTGAGGAAGAAGACAAATACGGGAGTAGCTATTATTTCTTACCAAATAAGAAGAATAAAATGGACCTTGAAAAGAAAAAGGAGATGGCAGAAATGGATGGGCAATGAAGAATCCCAACAAAAAATTCAATTTTAACTGTCTTAAATTAACGCGAGAAAGAAGAAGGCATTCGATTTGGATAGAAGTGAGCTTCTATCATATTCAATAATGGAGAATGAAGGAGAAAGAAGATGATGGTTGTTAAATAGGCCAAAATGTTACCATTTGGGCTTTTTCAGCTATCCTCACGTCCCTTACAGGCATGTGAATCACGCACTAGAACCAATTATGACACATAAGCTCAGCCTCTAGTTATAAGCGTGTATTATACAGGATTTGAATGAGTGTAAGTGTTTACTTTATAAAATCGCAAGTACCGAAACCGGGATGACAAACTAGAACAAGTAAATGTGCCATTTAGGCTAATAAATTTAAATGATTTATACTATTAAAATAATAAAATATAGGAAAAATCATAATCAAGTGAAAAATTATTTAATTCTCTAAAAACTAATTGTGTCACTCTTTTTCCGTTAGATATTGGGGTGAAATTTGCACCGTCTTTTCAAGTGTAATTTCCATAAACATGACATCCTTAAATAATAAAATTGGAAGAAAATAAGTTGAGAAGGAGAGATTGTTCAAGTTGGAGGGTTGATCACAACGATGGCATAGAAAGTCAAAAAGGATGGCATTCACGGGCATGGGATCTGAATCTGATTCTGAGTTGTTATTGGTGGGTGAAGTGAGAGGGGATAAATAAGATAATGGAGAATACAAATTTATAATTTAATCCTCTTTATCTTGTTGGATTGTAAAGATTCAAAAGCTCTTACATTTTCTCATTCTAATCAATACAATTTCGAGCTTAATTACTTAATTTAATCAATGGATTGAAGAAGAGGCACATCAATTAGAAAACCATATAGATAATTTAGGCAAGGTGACAAAGGATAATACATTTTATAACTGTAGAAGGAAAGCGGAAGATTTATATTATGTAGTCATATTCCCTTTCCTTTATTCATGTCGTCTTATAGATTGGTTTCCATTCTTCATGATTGCTCCCAAACATGAAAGAATCTCTTTGCTTCAATGCAATTAAAGAAAGGAAAGCAGGAAATAAAAAATATAAAATAAAAAAATGTAATGTTGCTGCCCAGGATCGAACTGGGGACCTTCAGTGTGTAAGACTGACGTGATAACCACTACACCACAGCAACCTTATGTTTAGATGAGCACAAATTATTTAAATGTAATTCTCATACCCACATTAGAGAGAACTAAAACTCTAATTAAGATGATTATGAAATTCATATTTGGACATTATTTTTGAGAAAAGGAAAATGGAAGAATTGCCTTATGATTCAAGCAATACTTCTATTTTTGGTCTTCAATTCTTGCCTGGAGTTTTAGGGTGAAATTCACAAAGTTTGCTGCTTTCAAACTATCCCATTTTAAGAAAGTGACCTACTCTTCTTCAGCTATTTACCCAGTTTTTGCAACTGCCCTCAAGTTGTTATGTATTTATTGGTACTAGGAGGTATACACAACAAAAACAAAAACAAATATAAAGAAAAACGAGGAGGTATTAAAAAAAAAAAAGACCCACACTAGGAGGTATGCGATGATGATTCATGTGGTAAACTATTTCGTTTACAAAAAAGGCCATAAGCCAGAAAAGCCTATCATTTTCCCTCCTTCCAAGTGTATATCAATCAAATCAATAAATAGGATTACAATACAAACACTTGATGTTTCATAATCCCTAGAATACTAAAATCAGATTTCCTGGTGACCTGACCTCCATATATACACAGACTACAGATGCAAATACATGGGGATTATAAGGGAGCACAAACCATTGCAGGTTTAAGAATGAATATAGCGGTGAATAAATAAAGGTTCTAAAACACAACACTGTTAACACATTCAATCACAAGTCATCTACTAATATAAACCATATGATGTAACCGAGCACAAATATGAAATTTGACTTTCTTAAGTTGACAAATACCTCAATTAAACAATGTAAATATACAGATACTTACCCACTTAATGAAGTGGCACATAAAGAAAAAATCCACCTAGTTTTTTTAACTGCTAAGAGTCTCAAAGCTACAAGGACAAGACATGGATAGACACAAAAGAGATAGGCGAGGCTGATGAATAATAATGTGTAATCCATTAGAGGAATGGCACGCAGAAACAGTAATTTTTCCTCTCCAATTGCTATACTAAAACATAAAATTAATGTGCAAACGCTGCAAGATAACTCATTGGTAACAGAAACAAAAATGATGTGCCAGTATTTCAAAGATTGTCACTTCAGGCATGTTCGTGACTAACAAAGTGTAAAGAAAGCACTTAAATGAAGGAATGAGTCATCATTCCAACAAATTCATGCGAAAATGAACATGGTATCTCAGAGAAATGTTGAATAGGTCGAGTGCAACACGTGCATAAAGCATATACATGAAGTAGAGGTTGCTAGAATCCCAACTTCTGGAATACACGTCTTGGGGAAGGGAGGACCAAAAGATTCTTTGCCCCTCCCTTTAGGGTATAAAGCAGGGAGCAACAAAATTTGAAGTACAGTGCTTGAGAACTGAAGTCAGGTACGTTTCTATGAAATTCAAATAAAGAACTTTACTGCTAAGACCAGAAACATAAGAAAATGAACAAGAGCAGCTGTGAAATAACTCCACTGATCTTTAAACTTATGTACATTCAAATTCATAATTAGTTCCATTCTGCATCAATTGTGCAATGCAAAATATCATTCCTGTCAGATCCCAATGACAGTGTAGCAGAATCTATTCAGTGTAAAACAACAAATACATCATGTACCAAATATGAGTTTCACAGTTTTCAAAAGAAATCACCTAGTTAAAATACATATATACAATAACAACTACGCCAAAGTCCCAAACAAGTTGGGGTCAGCTATATAAATATTCATTTACCATGTTTCCCCATTTAGATCTGGTTAGACCCAGGACCCACCTGCACATTTGAACAGAATCTAGTGCAAGCTTAAAAGAGGATCAAGAGTTTTAATAAATTTATTGGCCAAACTACATAAAAAAAATTTGGAGACTCGCTTCATTCACTAGTTGGTAATTTCCAAACACTATGCTTGCTCCAACATCTAACACTCAGAAGGCCCTATGTATATGAAGTTTATAATCTAAATCTTTAAATAAACCCAGAAAAGCTAATTATGGAAATGAACTTCCCTCCTTTAGAGAACTGCTGCATTTTCACTAAGCGACAAAAGTTTCAACTATTTGTTAAAGTCTGCCTAATTTATCATCCACATTGTCCACATATCAAATAATATATTGAAGCTAATTTTAATTGATATGAGAGACTGAGACAACAAGTTTGTTTAAAAGGGAAAAGTACCTTTATTGAGTACTCGACGTGTATATCCATAGCATACGACACACTTGCCCATAGAATACTACAATCCAATAATCTTGGTGACCTCCATATATACAAAGAGTAACAGCAACAACGACAACAACAAACCCAGTGTAATCCCACAAGTGGGGTCTGGAGAGAATAATGTGTACGCAGACCTTAACCCTGCCTTGGGAAAGTAGAGAGGCTATTTCCGATGGACCCTCGGCTCATATATACATATAGTATAGACACAAATAGTGGACGAGCTATCTAGGCTAAATTTACACAAGTACCTTTTTTATTTTTGATAAGTAAATATATACAATAACTTATCAATTTGGCACTAAGGAGGAGTACAAAACATTGCAGGTAACAAAAGAAGATTGCAGAAGTTTATTATACACATATTGGGAGCACAAATGCTAAAACAAAAAAATTACCTTATGAAACACAACGCAATTAACACATTCATCAATCATAATTCTAAAATTAATTCATCTACTATATAAACCATATGACAAAACTGAGCACAAATATGAACATTCAACTAAAGGATTTGACTTCAGTAAGTTGACAAGTACATGAATCGGCAGTGGCATAAACAAGGATATATATATATATATATATATACACACGTACATGCCAACCTAATGAGATTGGCCGAGAAATACAATGCACACCAAGTTATTAACTGCTACAAGTCTCAAAGCTAAAAGACAAGACATGGATAGACAAAAAAGAGATAGGCAAAGCAGATGAATAATACACAATCCATTAGAGAAAAGGCAGTAAACTATGCAGAATCACTAATGTTTTCTCTCCAAAATATATATTAAAAAAAGAACATCAAGAAGTTACAAAGCATGCTAGCAATTCGTCAAATTCAAAATCATACAGAACTTCTTCATCATTAGACATTTACTACTAATTATAAATACTACCAAGGTCTAATTACAGAAATAATAGCAACAATATACTTATAAGTCTAACCCTACACAAACTCTTCAGTAATAAGGGAAAACCATGAGGAAAAAAAAATCAATAAGAGAAAACCAGTCAAACCATCAGGATACACTGCAGTCATTTGGAAACCAGAAGGATCTCGGGCTTCTTAGCTTTACTCGGCGTGTTAGCATTTGATACAACAGTTGCTGCAGCAGCTACTTTAGCTGCCTCACGGCCTCTCTTATCAAGCTGAATCAGACTCCGACTTGCCAAAATAGCCTGTGGGGCCAAATCATGCGAAGCCCTTGCATACAGCCGTCTCACAGCCACAGAAGCAGCATCCTTCACATCCTCAGCATTCAAAGGACCCAACAAACAATGCCCCAAGATCCTAACCACAGGCTGCAACAGCTCCCACGGGAGCGGAATTCTTGCACCCTTTGGCCTTAATTCATCATACCCATCTTGAATTCCCAAATTCTCCATTGTTTCACAAACACCCTCCAAACTACCATTACTAATTTCAACAGAATTCTCTGAATTCCCATCAGTTTCATCAAAATCCGACAGGCAGGCACAATCTTGACCGGCCCAATCAGCAGCAAACTTACAAAGATCCAATTTTGACCAAGTGGGCATGTGGGAAATCTGTTTATAGTAAGAATCTAAAGCGACCCCAACAATGCAAGCGCGTTTAGTTGACTTCACAGCAATTTGGTGCTCAAGAGGCTGCGATAAAACTCCTACCAAAGGACGTTGATTCTGGGCCCCACTCGATCTGGGGTTTGATTTTGCTGACGTGGGGTTTCTTGGAGTATGATACAAAGAAGGCTGAGATAGATCGGGGATTGAAATGAGTATGGGCTTTCCATTTCGCGCTTTGGTTTCAGCAGAATAAAGGGCAAGAAGAACAGCTTCAAAACCAGAAAGAGAAGTAGTACAAGTAGAAGAATGGATTCGTGAGAGATAAATGGAGGCTAAAAGGGGAATAAAGGAGAGGACTACGAGGCGGAGATCAGTATCGGAAGAAAGGAAAGTGTCGTAAAGCCAGTGACAAAGAGGGTCATCGCCGGAGCCGGAGGAAGGGGAAGAGAGGGAGGAAGAAATGGAGAAGTAGGCCGCCGGAGAGAGGAGGAGGGATCGTGCAGGGCGGTCGGAGTCGGCGAGGGAGGAGAGAGAATCGGCGGCGGAGGAGTCGGACGGGAGGAGGAGGGAGGAGAGGAGGTGAATGCGAGAACGAGCTTTGGAGATGGATTCCCACCAAGAATGCATGGGGTTCGGATCATTATTGTTGTTGTTGTTGTTGATGATCGGAGTGCCGCCGTTTTGGTGGTGGTGGTTGGAAGTGGAGGGGGTTTGAACGGTGGAGGAAGTGGAGGAAGAAGGGGAGTCGCCGGAGATTTGGGAATTTAGGGTGATATCCATAGGGATTAGGAGGGTGGGTAGATCGGAGTTTTGGTGGAGTCTCCGATGAAGTCGTACAAAGTGGACTGCCTTCCTCAGTTCTTTTGGTTCCTTTTTTCCTACTATATTACTATTATTTTAGCCAAATTTCAGTATTGAATTTGCTACCAAAAAGAAGGTTGAGCTCGGTAACTGTTGAAATTATCTTCACACAACTTGTGGATTTGAAATTTCACCAAATGTTGAACAGCCTCAATTGTGTAGGCGAAAATTATGACAATCAGGGTTTAAATTTTTATAGAAACAAGAAATTATAAACAATCCGTTTAAGTCTTGGTGGATAAAAATGTCATTATTGTTATAAGAGAAATCAAATTATGTTGGATGTGTACTCTTCCTTCGTGATCTTATCAAATGCTTAATGACATATTCAATGACATATTTTTATGCTTAATGACATATTCAATGACATATTTTTATTCACTTTTCATGCCTATATAAAGGCCTTGTAATAGATAAGAAAAAACACACAATTGAAGAAGAAATAAGAATCTCTCTTACTCTCTATATCTCTTAGCTTGTTTTTCCTTGTTCGCTATTGTTATTTTGAGTTATATTTATAACACGTTATCAGCACGATTGTTACCTTCATTTTCACAATCACATCCTAGTTGTGTTCGATTCTCCTTTAGGTATATCACTATATATTCTTTTAGTTTATGATAATATATATGCACCAATATGTTATTTATTAACAAATTCATATACTATTAAGCATTTATTTTAGTTGATCATGTTATTGAAGTTCTCTTACCTTGCTTATTGTTAAAGAAAATATAAGATATAGATCTTGAGTACGTTAAACTAACAAAAATAATTTAATAAATATGTGTGGACTTGCGTAGAGCAAAACTTATCTTCAAGACTTTCTACAAAAATAAAATCGTGATAATCAAGGTGACAAAGTAATTATTGTACTACTAGTTTAATTACTTTACAATTGGTGGAAAGTAATATTTGAATACATTCACTCTTATCACCGTATATGGTTATTTCTCAAATCCACGTTTATAATAAATTGCTTTTCTTTTACTATACTAAATATCTCTCTTTGTGTTTATTCGTATACTCCATAATTCTTATTTATTTGACATATATATTATATGTTACTTACACCTCTCTTTTTTTATACTACATGTTTGAAGTGATCAACTTCTTAATTAGTTGTCTGATTTATTTTTACAAGTATATTTTAATTGAAAATTATTTTTATTCGTTCTAACCCATTTACTTTTGTGATTAGTTTCAATATGTCAAACTTGTCAAAGCTTGAATTCGTGGTACTAGACATTATCGGGAAGAATTATTTATCACGGGTCCTTGATGCTGAAATTCACCTTGACGCTAAAGGTCTTGGAAATACTATTATACAAGAAAATGAAGCATCAAATTAGGATAAAGCGAAGGCCATGATTTTCCTTCGTCATCATCTACATGAAGGGTTAAAAACTGAATATTTAACTGTAAAAGATCCACTTGAGTTATGGATTAATTTGAAGGATCGATATGACCACCTAAAACTTACGGTATTACCGAAAGCTCGGTATGAGTGGATACATTTAAGGTTGCAAGACTTTAAAACCGTAAGTGAGTATAATTCAGCTATCTTTAAAGTAAGTTCTCTATTAAAATTATGTGGAGACACTATCACATATGAGGACTTATTAGAAAAAATATTTTCTACTTTTCACGCTTCAAATGTGGTGCTACAACAGCAATACCATGAAAAGGGTTTTAAGAAATATTCTGAGTTAATCACATGCCTACTTGTGGCAGAGCAGAATAATACTCTATTAATGAAAAATCATGAAGCCCGTCTCACTGGGTCAGCACTATTCCTAGAAGTGAATGCTATAGCAGCATATGATAAGTTTGAAAGAAAATAAAATAATTACCATGGTCGTGGACATGGTCGTAGACGTGGACGTGGCAGGGGACGAAACAATTATCATCATTATGGTGAAAATAAACAGGAGAACAATAAGGGTTCTCAAATTAATCCTTCAAAAGGTAAAATTAATATGTGTCACAGATGTGGTATGAAAGGTCATTGGGCACGCATTTGTCGTACGCCAGACTATTTTGTCAAACTTTATCAAGCCTCCCTTAGAAAGAAAGAAAATAATGTGGAGGCACACTTGACATTTCAAAATAATGATGATGAAGCAGGCCCCTCAAACAAATATGATTCTGAGGCACATCTTGCATATAAAGATGATGATTTTGGAGGCCTAGCAAATATTACTCATTTAGAAGCTGGAGACTTCTTTGAGGATATCGACTTAAGAACTAATCATCTTACTGGGAATGAAGCTATAATAAAAGTTATCATTTTGTGATGTTTGCAACTAATTTATTTTTCTTAAGTGTATTTTCCTAATGTATCATGTGTTGCTAGTTTCTACATTCCTAATGTATTTCTTAATATATATTTTGTTTGTCTTTCATATTTCTTATAATGTACTTTTTGATTTTTTTTATGAAGAATATGCAAATTTTCCAGTCTTCAGTTGGACTCAAGATTAATAAAGATGATATGTCTTCTGGATAGTGCTACAACACACACTATTTTAAGAGATAAGAGATATTTCTCTTATTTGGTAATGAAAGAAGTTAATGTTAATACAATATCCGGTAGTACAAAATTAATTGAAGGTTCTGGAAGAGCCAATTTATTACTACCAGGAGGAACAAATTTGGCTATTGATGAAGCACTATATTGTAGTAATTCTCAAAGAAACTTATTAAGTTTCAAAAATATTCGCCAAAATAGCTACCATATTGAGACTACAAATGATGAAAAGATTGAATATCTTTATATTACTACAATAATGTCTGGTAATTAATATGTGCTTGAAATATTACCTGCTCCCGGTTGGGTCATCCTGGTTCTACTATGATGCATAAAATAATTGAGAATTCACATGGACATTCAATGAAAAACCAAAAGATTCTTCAATTTAAAGAATTCTCTTGGGCTGCGTGTTCTCAAGGCAAATTAATTATTAGAACATCAGCTATTAAAGTTAGGATGGAATCCCCTACATTTCTGAAATATATACAGGGTGATATATATATGGGCCCATTTGATATTATATGATTTTGGTAGATGCATCTATAAGATGGTCACATGTGTGCTTACTATCAACTCGCAATATGGAATTTGGGAGATTGTTGGCTCAAATAATAAAGCTAAGAGCACAATTTCCAGATTATGCAATTAAGACAATTCGTCTTGATAATACTGGTGAGTTTACATCCCAAGCCTTTAATGATTATTGTATATCAACTGGGATAATAATTGAGCATCTGGTTGTTTATGTTCATACACAAAATGGTCTAACGGAATCATTGATCAAACGCCTCCAATTAATCGCTAGACCAATACTTATGAGAAGAAAACTTTCCATTTCAGTATGGGGTTATGCTATTTTACATGCAGCAGCACTTGTGCGGATAAGGCCTACAAGTTATCATAAAGTCTCCCTATTGCAATTGGCTTTTGGTCAGGAGCCAAATATTTCTCATCTTAGAATCTTTGGTTGTGTGATATATGTTCCAATTGCTCCACCACAACGCACAAAGATGGGTCCCCAAAGAAGTTGGGAGTATATGTTGAGTATGAATCTCCTTCTATTATAAAATATCTGGAGCCTATGACTGGAGATTTATTTACAACAAGATTTTCTGATTGTCATTTTGATGAATTAGTATACCCAATATTAAGAGGAGAAAATAAGCAGCTGAGAAAGAAGATAGATTGGAATGTATTATCACTATCTCATTTAGATCCTCGAATAAATCAATGTGAACAAGAGGTTCAAAAGATAATTCATTTGTAAAATATTGCAAATCAACTGCCAGATGCATTCACTGACCTACCAAGGGTGACTAAGTCACATATTCCAACTGCTAATGCTCCAATTAGAGTGGATATCCCCGTAGGACAATTAATTAAAGCAAATGAGTTTAAACCATGCTTGAAACGTGGTAGACCTATTGGTTCTAAGGATAAAAATCCTCGAAAAAGAAAAAGAGCAAATGATTAAAGTGATCATAATACGGAGGTAGTGACTTAAGAAGAGCACAAAGACATAACAAATGATAAAACCTCAAGGGAGGTTCAGGTACCTGAAAATGATAAGAATGGAGAGATCTCAATAAGTTATGTCTCAACGGAAAAAAGATGGAACCGAAATAATATTGTTATCGATAACGTTTTTGCTTATAATGTCGCTATTGAAATAATGCAACAAGATGAGGATCTTGAACCAAAATCTGTTGATGAATGTAGACAGAGAAATGATTGGCCAAAATGGGAAGATGTTATCCAGGCAGAATTAACTTCACTTGCGAAACGTAAAGTTTTTGGGTCTGTAATCCAAACACCAAATGGTGTTAAGCCTGTTGGCTATAAATGGGTTTTTGTACGTAAAAGGAATGAGAAAAATGAGGTACAAAGATATAAGACACGCCTTTTTGCACAAGGATTTTCACAAAGGCCTGGTATCGATTATGAAGAGACGTATTCTCCTGTTATGGATGCTATAACGTTCCGTTATCTCATTAGTTTTGCTGTCCATGAAAAGCTTGACATGCATTTAATGGATGTAGTTACAGCCTACCTTTACGGCTCACTTGATAAAGAGATATACATAAAAATTTCTCAGGGATTTAAAATGCCTGACGCACATAATTTGAAGTCCCAGGAAATATTTTCAATCAAATTGCAAAGATCTTTGTATGGTCTAAAACAATAAGGTAGAATGTGATATAACCGCCTTAATGAGTATTTATTAAAGGAAGGTTATATAAATGATACCATTTGTCCATATGTTTTTATAAAGAAAACAACATCGAAGTTTGTTGTACTTGCTGTATATGTTGATGACATAAACCTTATTGGAACTCCTACAGAACTCCAAAAGGAAATTGATTATTTAAAGAAGGAATTTGAGATGAAAGATCTCGGAAAAACAAAATTATGTCTTAGTTTGCAAATTGAACATTTGGCAAATGAGACTTTTGTTCATCAATCTGCCTACATAGAAAAAGGTATTGAAACCGTTTTATATGGATGGAGCACATCCATTAAGTACTCTAATTATTGTTC